TCTGCCTGTCAGTCTGGGAGCCTCCACTGTTTTGTTGCCCTCTGTCTGGCGTCTGTCAACCGTTACATGTCTTTTTTTAGTTTTTTTTTTTTCTCCCGTCTTTGTCTTCTTGTCGCCGTTCCTTCTGCTCTCACCAAACCGAGCCATCAGAGTTCCGGCTGAACTTCCAAAGCAGGAAGTGAACGTTGTGAGACGCCTGCGGGCCTCGCCGTTTAGTCTAATTGATTCTCCTAATTGTCTCAGGAAGACCAGAAAGTTCCTCCCTTTTTCTCTTTCCAGCCCCCTCTCCTCCCTATCTGTCCTTTAATCACCACCGTTTGCGGTGGATGTTCGCCGGCAGTGACTTAAAACTGTTTGACGCACATTCCAATTCATGGCCGGACCCCCAGACGCACGGAGCAGATGTGAAATCCATTCTGATTAAAACGAGGAGCGGCAATGAAAAACAGATCTGTCGTGTCTGAACTGCCCAAGAGATGCTGTCCTTGTGTGAGCTTAAGCAAGACTAAGTGATTGCTCGTCCGGCTTCCTGAGAATGCTAACACGGGCGTCCGCGGTCCTTCTTAACGGCGGCTGCTGCTTTTTATTCTTATTCTTTTACCTTTTATCATTTTCAAGGGCCACTTTTTTTTTAAGTTTGATCAAATCTGCTTTCATAATTCATCGGTTTTCTACGATAGCGTTACCCGCAGTTGCATGAATAAGACATAGTCGATGCCATGAGAAATATTACTTCCACATGTGCCAAGGACGACCTCCACTGTGTGAACTCTTCTTTTCAAGAGCAGCATTTCCCATCACAACAGTCCCGTTTGACCCTCTTAACATTGTCTCCATGCTTAATAACGCTCTCGTCTTCCTGTTTCTTGTTTTCCACAAGGGCCCCCCCCCCCCTCCGCCTTGATTGTTGCCCCTTCTCGGGTTTGTCGTGATTGGCTCGGGACGCGGTGGCTGATGGGTAATGATTAGCCGAGGCCCCCCGACTAGCCAATCAAAGCCGGTTAATTAGCCCCATTGTTTTGCCGTCGTGGATTCGCCCCGGACTCTATCCGTCCGTGTCTTCGCCCGGCTTTCCACCTCGCCTCGTCCCTCTCATTAGCAGGCTGGAGTGGAGGAACAATCAGGCAGAGCGTTGGTCCAAGCCTGGCATGCATGTCCACACACACACACACACACACACTGGCTGGGTCCCAGGAGTCCTTTTATGGCCGGTGATTGTCATTCGCAGCTCGCTGTATGACCTTGATAGGGATAACAGAAGCACCACCGAGGGATGCGACTGCATACTCGCACACACAGTGGAGATGAAACCCTCCCTCGTTCTCTCGCTCAAAAAGAAAAAAAAAAGGCCCAAGGACATGAGAAGTGTCTCTATGCAGAATTTCCATGATACTCATTTATGATGTTGGATCAACTTTGCATTTTCTTCGGCACACTTTGCTCAGAAAAAAAGAAAAAGAGAAGTTACATAAGTTTTTGGAGACATGTCTGTGTACATATTTGCTCGTACCTTTCTTGTCTTTTTCATTTCTTGCCCTCCTGACAGCCGATGAGAGCGCACGCGGCGGGAGGTGTTATCAAGGTTTTGATGCACACAAACCAGCTCGCATAAACACACCCGGTCTGTTTGCCGAAACCCGTTGTTTGGGCGCTCCGTCGTCTTTGTGCTCTGAGGTGTTTGGTGTTGTGGAGCGACGCCACACCTCCTGTCATCCTCCCGCAGTATCACGAGCCCCGCAGTCTTTCATGTCTGCTCGGCTGGTAATGAGAGCTGATAGAAAGAGGTGAGATTCTCCCATCAGTCCTCCCACACGCACAGAGGGAGACGAGCTCAGCGGAGACCGAAAACCGCCGGGTGCACGTCGCTTCGCCGGCGTGCGCGCACATCCGACCGCCTGTGTGTACGTAGGCCGCGGATTATCGCGCTCGCACCCCACGGAGGCGTCATCTAATCAGTCTAAACTTCTCCTGACACTTCACTTGCTCTTCAGCTGAAGTTGGTGCGTCTTTATTAGGGATCTCTCCCTCCCTGGCAGTCTCTGCTTCCTCCTTTCTCACATACTTCCCCTCCCTACGTGTCCGTTCTTGTTGTTTTTTTTTTGTATCTCCGCTCCCTCCCTGCGTTTATCAAAGTTTGATGCTCAGCCATCTGTGAATCCAACTAATGTTTCACCTCATTCCTTTTTAGTTTTCTTCTTCTGACCCAGTTTGTCGCTCTCCACAGGTGCCGGCTGCTGCTGTGATTACAGATCAGAAACATCTCTGTCCTTAATGACAGCTGTGCCACCTGTCCGAGTTGTTTTGGTGGGGTTTTTTTAATGCCCTTCCAAGAATAGAAAGATGAGGGGGAAGCGACGGTAAGAGAAAGTACCCTGGATGCTGTTCAGAACATCTGCCAGATGATCAGATAAACAAGAGAGTTGAGATGAGGGCATAAAGGAGGGAAAAGCAGCAGGTCAGGAGGGAGGCCATGTTGTCAGTATGTGAGTATTATCCTTAAATAGCCGCCTTGTGCTGCGTTTCAGCAACACTTTTGACATTTCCTGCTCTCGTCGTTGGCTGTGGGCAAACAAAACGAGCAGTGGGACGTGATGGAGAGAAGTGGAACGTGATGAATGGAGAAAAAGAGGTATTGATGCTCGGCGGATGAGCGAGGACGGACGTACTGGAGAGAGTAACAAGTGGGGGGAGGCGAGAAGTCGAAGACGGAGTGGAGGGGGAAGATGAAGCGGGACGCGGAGATGAATGGCGGCGAGCTCTGGAGAGGCTATAAGCGTTTGAGCTTTGTCTGGCACCGGCTCGCAGCGCCGTGGTCTCATGTCCCATGCTCTTTCAACTAGGAAGTAAAAAGGCCTTCATTTTAGCTGCTCTCCTACTGAAGTGCACTCTCATCAAAGGCGACCTCGTGGCAGCTCTCTGATCATAAGGCACAGTGCAGGGCCGCCGTTTAGATCCTTGGCTAACAGCGCCGAGGCCCAGAGGGGTGTTGAAGCCGGTGACAGCCCTGTGTGGGTTTTTGATGCGGGAACGGCAAACACCGGCAATTTGAAGTGATGGAAACTTGATTTTCACGTTTAAGTGACGACTCTCAGCTTGATTTTTTGCAAAGGCTTACGCTGCTGTGAAATTCACATGCACTCACCTGTCACCGGAGAAAGCAAGAAAATAATAAAAGAAAAAAAGGCGAGCGACAGACGACAACAGCAAACAAACAAAAACACTGTCACCCGTGTTCATGTTTTCCCCCTGACTCTGATATCCCATTTCTAGGGTTTCTATAGAAGACGACCAAATAAAGTCCTGTCGAGCAGCTTGATCTTTCCTCCAAGTATCGAGTTCTTTCTCCGGCGTTGATCACGTCAAAGTCACATCTTAACAGAGGCGCTTTCTTTACTCTTCCACACAACATTTTTGCAGAAATTGCACAAAAATGGGCAAATTTCAGATGAGACTGGGAGAGCTTTTGAATAATCTCAGATACAGTTTGGCTGCATCGATGTGTGCAGGGACAAAATACAGCCGAGCAAGACGTCAGCGCTGTCGGGCGTCATTCACAGCTGTGGAAGACGGCTTCGGCTTTTTGGTATTTTTGGGCTACTTTTGGTGAATCCAATGTGGCTTACAGACACAATCAAGTCATCAAATGTGCAACAAACCTTATGTTCCTGCTCGGCTGATCTGCGTCTCATTCATGTTTTGAAAGAAACCCTCCCCGACAGGTGACGGTGAGTCAGTGGAGGCATGAACCTGAGACACAACTTTTTACCCGTGACGTCGGAATTTGCTTCCCGTGTGATTATTCTGAAGGTTGGTGAAGTTTAGGCACCAAAACTACTTGGTTAGATTTAGAAAAAAATAATATGCTTTGGGTTTAAAATGAGACAGAAACTTGTTAGGTTTGCAACGACTTAGTTGGGTTCAGAAAAATATCCTAATTTGGGTTAAAATGAGACACGTGTGAAGCTTCTCCTCCATTAACTGTACTACTGATCGATTCCCTGAAAAAGAGTGACAGTAAAGCAATAAAACAAACGGCAAAGACATGCTGATTACGAACATATTTGCTGTGTTTTTTGGTTTTGCTGTCTCGTTTTATTTTGAAAGGGTCCACTATCTTGCCAGTCATTTTACTTCCTGTCTTTGTGATCTCCTCTTATTGGTTTCAGCTGCGTCTCATCACCTAATCAGCTCCTGTTTGTACATCTAGTCTTTTCTCTTCCTGCTCTCTGTTTGACTTTTCCTGATCTTCCAGGCGCTCATCTCTGGTTTGTGCATTTAGTTTTCTGAACCTTTTTTTTGTTTGTTTTGCTTTAATTTGTTCCCCCGTGCTTCCGTTAACGTCCTGGATGTTTGGTTCACCTTTACTGCCAGTATTTGTGATATGTCACAAGCAAACATGATTCAGGAGAAAATCCCTCAAAGCATGACTGGAGATGTGCTTTAGTTGTACAGGATTGTCCTGTAATGTGCCTCGAAGCGTTCTCCCGTCATGAATCTGGTCATTTATTCTCCTCTTGGTAGCATCTTGTGGTGAATTTATTTCTCTAATCTCTCACCTGAAGGTCTCTAAATAAGTATTTTAACTTGATCGAATCTTAAACATTTAAAATTTCAGTGAAAGAACACCAAATCCTTGAAGTCAGAACTTTAAACGCTTACAGGCAGTTTTTAAAAACACTTTAAATGTAAGTTGTGAACCTTATGACGAAACTTTAGCCGTGAAGAATTCTCATTGTGTTCCTAATGCTCTCAACCAGCCGTCGCTTTGCAGCAAATTATGTGAACTGTGTGTGTTAAACAGCTGGAAAGTTTCTCTCCACACCGGGTTTTGGCTCATTATTTTTATAATTTTTCTCGCTCCGACAGATGCCCTGAACTCTGAGTTTTGCCCCTTTCAGCTGTGATGTGTGACTTTAACATGCTTTGTTTTTCTGTTTCCTTTTTCCAAACTGCCTGTTCCTGTTACGGTGGATATCGGCGGATGCTGTTGGCGCCGGCAGTCTCATGTGAGTGAATCTTTCCAAAAAAAAAAAACGTCCCTGGGTCAGATCAGTTCTGCGCGAGAGAATAGAATCGTCAGCCAGCTAACTTGGCAGCGCTCCTCAGGAAAGAAAAAAATAAAATAATGTGGTCGGAAAATCTTCCTAGCGTAGCCCTAACAACAAAAAAGATCATCTACATAGCATTTGCATTTAATTATTAAGGAGCACATTTTTATATTTATTTAGCTGTTCCACTTTCTTTATCTGAAAGAAGCGCTGCATCATGCATGAGCTGGTGGTCACAGCAGGCCTCCAGTGCTCAAGGAGATGATGCTGAACTTTCTTATTTTACGCGAGTTGAATTTACCGACTGATGAAATCAAATCAAAGTCTTGTTCGGTGTAAAATTTTAATTGGTAGTTATCAGGGATTTGCATCAGCGTTCAGGGAACAGTGAGCTTCTTTTGCACAGAAACGTATCAACAACCTTTTTTCTTTTTTTTTTTTTTTTTCTCCTCCGTGCTTTGGCAAAGGAAAACAATAGAAGCGGTTTCAGGAAATAAGCTTTGTCTGAATGAAACGGAGCGAGCTTGTAATCGTTTGGCTTTTTGATTCGTGTCTGCAGGTGATTTCGGCACAGAAGGTGGGGAACCAAATCTTCCGACTGACGGGCCCCGGCGCCGACCAGGATCCCAAAGGCCTGTTCACCATCGACATCGACACGGGAGACGTGTCAGTCAGCCGCTCGCTGGACCGGGAGGCCATCGACTCCTACCTGGTCAGTGTGTGCGCCCTCGTGATTGTCGTGTTTGTGTGTTCTGTCCACCTCCTTTCCGTCTTTGTCGAGTTTCCTCTTCAACTCGCTCGACTTGTTCATGAGAATTTTGTCGTTCAAATTTGGCATCATGTTGGAATATGGGGAAGAAAAAGAAAAAATGCTCGTGGAATGTTTTGTGTTTGATTTCCAACCCGGCTATGCTAATGTTGGCAGCGGGATTTGGGGGGGAAAAGGACGGACTTTGTATTTTGGTCCTCCTCTGTGTTGAAACGGCCCGTTGGAGGCTGTTTGAGGTGCCCGAGCGTTTTGTGCCCTTGGGGTTGTCTGGCCAACAAAAGCATTTCCCCGCCCTTGAAGAGAAAAGAGGGAGAGAGGGGGCAGAGAAAGTCCAGTGTGTAAGTCGGTCGATTGATCTTATTTCTGAGTCGGGGTGTTGGGCTGGGTGCGAGCTGATGATAAGCTAACTGGATTTTGTAAAAGCTCACAAATAATTTGCTCTGTAAACACCAACAGATGCGAGCGGAGGGCGAGCGGCAGAGAAATAACACACATTTGGCGGATTTCTTTCTTTCTTTTTTTTGTCTTGTGTTGCTCAGTTACATACGATGTGTAGCCGTGACTGTTCCCAGGAACCTTCGACACCCAGTAACAGAGCGGCCCCTGAATCTGAATGAGAAATACGCATTTCTATATAACCAGACTGCGTGTACAATTAAATAATGACCCACCAGGAGAATTTCTCACCATCTAGTTGTGGGGAGATAGAACTTACTCTAGCTTGTCTCCCTCTGGAAAAAATGAACCTAGAAAGCAATTTGTTCCCTTCTCGTCCAATTCTGGCCTCAAGTCAGATTTCAGTTAAACGTTTTCATGCTGGGAATTGCAAGGAAGCAGGATAAACGAAGCTAAATGGAGAGATCAAGAGGTCTAATCAGACGGCATGAGTGAAATCAGATGCATGTTTGTGTGGACGATGCATCTGTAGGAATCTGTGTGGCGTCGCGTCGGCCTCCCGTTAAGCATCGTGATGGTTGTAGGGCCTTTGAGAGGAATAACTGTATTCATATTCCTAACAGACTTCTTATTGCACTCAGTTATTTTAACTCCTCTTTCGAGTGCTTACACCGAAATAATTTGCGACTTCGGGCGGCCGCGTTTTTCCAGCTCTGTCAGCGTTGTTAATTTACAAAATAAAGATTGCAGACGCACACATACAGATAACCGCACACAAACCTTCAAAGAGACTGTGCTTAATAGTTTTTTTTTTTTGCTTACATTCTGAAAGTATTTTGGCAGCTTAGTGATTTAAAGTTTTCGGGGTCCTCGTCGGCTATAACAAAAGTTGGTGCATAAAGCTCTGGGGATGGAGACAGACACAGAAGAGGGAAAAGAGGACAGTAAAGAAGAGCGAGACGAGCAGAGGATAAGGGGTCTGGGGATCTTCTCCGTGCAGATTTGACTGTGTTCGCTGTGGAGAAGAGAGAAGTTTAACGACGTAATGAGCTGAGCCGAATCCAAGAGAGAGGGAGAGAGTGACAGAGATATGGAAAAACAGGGTGCCTTGTAATTTAAAATTAGAAAAAAAAGGAGCAATGCAAGCAGCCAGGCTGACTTTGCTTTACTTTGTGTTAGAATATAGTTCAGTAAAGCAGCTGGTTTGACACTAACGTTGTTAATACTCAATATAGACCAGCTGCACATTAAAGGTGCCACCAAAGTACCTCTGACATGTCGATGCATGGACTCCACAAGAC